GCGTTGGGAATCTGGGTTGGAAATTTCTTTGTGACTCAATTCTCTCCTTCCATTTCTACCCCCACCCCAATCCCCCAGACCCCTTGTCCACCCTCACCTGGGCTCTTCTGATGCTGGGTTGCTGGGGTGCTGGGGGAGCCTGGGAATTCAATGTTTACTGTTTTGAGTCCTGCCCCATCCCCTCCTGGGCACTGCAGAGGACACTGTGACTTGCCAAGTACTCTTCCCACTCATTTGTGGAACGTTTCTCCCGAGTGCCAGGTACAGCCCTGGGCACCAGGGCTACTGAGAACAACGTGGCCCAGGTCTCAGGAAGTTTAATGCATATATTAAGAAGAAGACTCGCCAATCCACCTGATGGCGGTTAGCCTGGTTCACCTGGGAGAGAACACCAAGGGAGGGCCTACCTGGGCAAAATCTTGAAGGGTGCTATTGCTGACGCCATAGACGCCCACTCGTATCAGAGTTGCTCAATCCATGCTCAGGATAAGCCAGGAGTGTCAGGGAGTTAAAGCCACAGGAAGAACCCTTAAGCCAACAAGAAGCAGAAGCCGGTGGGTAAATAGCCCCAATTCCTCACCACTTCATCCTGAGGTATGCTTTACACAGTCTCTCAGGGGGGCCCAGTGGGACTGACTGACCTGCTCACTAACACAGCCACAGGGCCTTCCCTTCCCTGTCTCACTTCCTACTCCCTCTCCATGCTCCTCGGGGTCACCTCCCAAATAAACTCCCTGCACCCAAGTCCTTACCTCAGGGTCAACTAGTTTCTTTCTTTTTTTTTTTAAGATTTTATTTATTTGAGAGAGAGAGAGAGAGAGAAGAGAGGGAGAGGGAGAAGCAGACTCCCCACTGAGCAGGGAGCCCCTACATGGGGCTCGATCCCAGGACCCTGAGATCATGACGTGAGCTGAAGGCAGACACTTAACAGACTGAGCCACCTAAGCGCCCCTCAAGGGCAACTCTTAAGGTATGGAAGAGTAAGTTTAAATGGAGAGTCAGGTGGTCAAGGCGGAGAGCATCTTGGCAGAGGGAGCCACCTGGGTAAAGTGATGGAGGACAGGACATGGTGTGGCATTTGGCATGGCACGGCAAACTTGCTGGTCCCAGGACTTTGTTGCATCCTTGTCCAGAAGGGACAAACACTTCAGTCATTTTTTCCTGACCTCCCAGAGGTGCTGGAAGAGAAGGAGTTGAAGATGGCCAGCGGCTTCCTGAGAGGAACCCAGTGGCCCTGCTCAGGTGTCTGCCTCCGTCCTGGGCCCTCAGGGGTGCAAGAAGTTGGCTCTGTTTCTTCTGAAAATGAGCTGCTCAACTATGAAAAGAAATTTCCCAACTGTCCCGGCTTCTTGCATGATTTGGGTCTATCTAAATATTTGGAAAATGTTCTGTTGTGCTTATAGGGAGTATTACCTGGTCAAAGGCTGAGGCCTATGGAAGGCAACAGAAAGCAGTGGTTAAGCCAGACAGACTAGCTAGTTGTGTGCTCCCGAACCAAGGCAGCCCCTGCGAACCTCAGTTTCCTTATCTGTACCATGGGAATAATAGTACCTGATGGGGAGTCAATGAGATAATGCATATGGCGTTAGGCTCTGACTATCGTAGATGCCCGATTTTAAAAAAGTGGTAGTGCTGACAAGCTGAGTGTACCCACTGGGGGCAAAGCCAGCCAGCCACCTGGGCAAGACCAGCAAGCAAACTCTGCCATGAAGGGTCTACCACCAGCCTCCCCAGCTCAAAAGCCCAACTGGGCAGCCCACCCAGGGTGTGCCTGCTTGGCTTGGCTATGACAAGAGCAACCAGTTGGTCAAGCTCAGCCATCAGGTCATCCTGTCCAGGCCAGGCCTTTGCCACCATTGGTGAGCTAGCCAACAAGCAGTGGGGACAAGACGTTGGCTCAAAAGGCCTGGGGCTCTGGGCAAGCGCAGGGAAATGACCTCAGTGGGGTTCCTCAGCCCCCCTTGCCCCACTGGTGTGCGGAGAAGCACCCAACATTGCTTCCTGGGATCCTCTTTTATAGGCTTCCATGGGGGGCCAACTTCCTTCCTCTTCAGGGTCTCTGTTTCAATAGACTTGACCCCTCTCATCTGAGAGCCCTTCCTGAACTTCCCAAATCCCTGCTGGCCTGTAGGGTAGACCTGGCCGGGTTAACTCGGAGAGAAGGCCGACAGGGAGGGGCTCTGAGGCCTGGGCCCTGGGCTTTCTGGTCAGTGACTGCATTGCCCCAGACAGGGCTGTATAGAGCAGACCTCTCCCCACCCCCGCCTAGGGCAGATGAAGGAACGCTTCTGAGCAGCAAGAACCAGGCTGGCACTTACGCTGATATTTTGAGGCTTTGGGTAGAGAAGGCCTCAAAGGAGATCCCAGGGACTTGCAATTATCCAATTAACACAACATGCCAGTTTCCGAGGTGGCCTGGAGTTCCTCAGGGCTGCTCAGATAAGGACCGACAGGAGGAAAGATCCACGAAGTTCTGGTCCTTGTCTGTGTACACAATGCTGGGGATGATTAACCCCTGGCCTGGGGGCGGTGGCGGGAAGGGACTGGGGGTGGGGGATGCAGATCAAAGGCTCTCAGACAAAATGACCAGTCTTGGAACTCTGGGAGAGGGGGGCTGTCTGCTCTAAGCAAAGCATATTTAACATCACCACAGCTTCGGGGAGTCCTGGGGCTCTTGGTAGCCAGCATCAATCGCCCCAGCCATGGGGCAGAATGTTCTTTCTGCACTTCCGCCGTTTTTATTTATCTTCACAAGATAAACAGAGAGACACATACCCACGCTGTCACCGAACTGGGTCCCAGAGAAACCAATCTAACCGTTCCTGGGAACGCCTGTATCTGGTTTCGTTGCAGGATTTCTCTGCCCATGGTTCTTGGTCCCACCGCTTCGAAGAATGAAGAGGTAGACCAGATGCAGAGTGGTGGGCGGCAAAGCAGAGCCTATTGAGCGATAGTCTAAGGCTCCCAGAGAGGGAGGGGGCCCGAGTGGGTTGCCCTCGGAGTTTCTAAGTTGAGCGGGTTTTCATGAGCAACTATCTTAAGCAATCAGGGTGCGCTGAGTCATGCCAGTCAGGGCTTTGGTCACGTACCTGTCTACCTACGAGGTTCATGTCTCTGTGCTGATGGTCTTTTTTTTGCTGACATCTGGGGGCTTAGGTCTTAACTGCCTCTTGCCCGTGACAGGGACAAATGCCTTGTGCTTAACTGTCTTATTTTAGGGCAGAAGCCATTTCTGCAAAGGCAGCAAAAACGGGATGTTAGTGCTGTTTTATCTTAGCTGTCCTGACTCCGTACTTTCTTGTTGCGAACCCTAGCCCTGACTCCCTATCTGTCCAACTAACTCCTGACAGTTTGAGCCTGCCCCTGCTCCCAGAATCTTCTGAGGACCCACTCTCCCACCACTTTTTCCTCTAAAGCTCTGCAAGCCTTCCTCTGGACCGGGGTGCCTTCCTCCCTTGGGAAAGGGGGCTTGCTCCTCATACCAGCTCATCATGCAGCCTTCAACCAGCCCAGGAAGTGGGAACCACCAGCAGGAGGATCAGATTCCTCTGCCTCACTGTACCCATTAGCCCTCAGTACTCTCCTTGACCAGAGAGAGCTGACTCCCTCCCTTTGTCAGGCCCTGGAAAGGCAGTGTAGGGAGAGGTAAAGATGAGGGAGGGCAGGAAGGAGGTGCCAGGCCCAGAAAGGGGCAGGCCCAGGCCTAGCGCAGGGGAGGAGGGAAACAGGCAGTGGGAGTGCTGGCTAAGGACCACAAAGTCTTGGTGGGGAAGGAGGGACTGCAGGAACTGGAGTATCTCAGGCGCTCTCAGTGGGTGGGGCTGGGAGCAGGGGTACCTGGGAAACAGGCTCCCTCTGGAATTCAGAGTTGAGCCGCTGTCTAAGTCACGGACCTCGGGAATCTATAAGATAGAGGACTGCAAACGGGCCTCCAGGGGTGCCACACTCCAAAAGGACAGCTTAGGGTGAGTATGACATACTGCCAGACGCGTGGGCTCCTGGCCTCGGTTTCCAGGATCCTTGTCAGTGCCTTGACTGCCAACTAGCAAGAGAGAAGCCCTTCCCTGGGTGGTTGCTCAGAAACCTGGTGGTCAGCAAGAGACAGTGGGGTAGAGGAATACACACCTGCAGAGATGGGGCCACATGAAGCAGTTTGTGATCTACCCCTACCTGATCTCCCCGCTGCCCTACGCAATTCTGGGGACTCTAGAAACTCCACACCTAGGAGCCTTCAGCCACCCCTCCAGGGCAAGGCCGACCTCAGGGCCCTGGCTTTCGCTGGAACCCGCGTGAAGACCAGGAAATGCTCGGATCCAGGTTCCCAAGCCTCACAGCTTTCTGGGGGCTCTTTTCTTCCCAAAGGGCAACCCTGAGGGTCCTCTCAAGAAAGAGCCCTCTCAAGAGGAAGTTCTGCCCTCAGAACTCATTTTAAAATAGGACCTGCCAACCAGGTCAAATGCAAATCGGACTCACCTGTGGCTGGGCAGTTGTAAGGGGGGGAAAATGGAGGTAACTCAGTTTTGTTGGACTTGACAAAATCTCCCGGAAGTCCCATGTTTCTATTCCAGCAGAGCTTCTCCTGACAGGGGTCATTCACCGGCTCATTATTAATAGACGTTTCTGGAGCCACATCTGTGCACCTGGGGAAAGTTTACAGCAATAAAGGGCACAGTCTCTTCCCTCCGGAAGCTCGTGCAATGGGGACAAGGGAGGAGGTGACTTGGAAGTTCAGGCGGGAGGGGACAGGTGAGGGAAGCCTTCTGCAAGAAGTCACCTGTGGATACTAATCCGCAAGTGAATTCGAGGGAAGGGCATCGCTGGGAGCAAGAAGGAAAGGAGGGGCCACAGGAACGTCCCCCCCCCTCCCCGCCGCCCCCGACCTTCGGGAAACATCCAGGGCCTGTGCTTCTCCTCAGAGTAGAGGAGCACATTTGCCCCTTCGTGCGGGGTTTCTGCGGATTTAAGGGGCTGTCGTGCTGTTGTCTCCGCAGCCACGCACCATGTGGTGGGCCCTGCTGCCGCTCCCGCTGCTGCTGCCCACGGCGCTGCGCCCCAGCTGGGCAGGGCCACCCCAGGAGAGGGGCCCTCTTTTCCGGCTCACTCGGCGGGACCCCCGGGAGAGCGGGACCAGCAACGCCACGGTGTCGCCGTGCGAGGGGCTGCCCGCCGCGGGAGCCTCGACCTTGACCCTCGCGAACCGCAGCCTGGAGCGCCTGCCCCGCTGCCTGGAGCCCGCACTGCGCAGCCTAGACGTCAGCCACAACCTGCTGCGCGCCCTGAGCGCCGCCGAGCTCGGGCCCCTGACGCGGCTGCAGGTGCTGACGCTGCGCCACAACCGCATCGCCGCGCTGCACTGGGGCCCGGGCGGGCCGGCGGCGCTGCACACGCTGGACCTCAGCTACAACCGGCTGGCCGCGCTGCCGCCGTGCGCCCCGCCCGCGCTGCCCGGCCTCCGCTCGCTGGCGCTCGCCGGGAACCCGCTGCGGGCGCTGCAGCCCCGGGCCTTCGCCTGCCTCCCCGCGCTGCGCCTCCTCAACCTCTCCGGCACGGCGCTGGGCCGCGAGCCCGGGGCGGGCATCGCCGACGCGGCCTTCGCGGGAGCGGGCGGCGCGCTCGAGGTCCTGGACCTCAGCGGCACGTTCCTGGAGCGCGGTGAGTCCGGGCGGCGCCGGGAGCTCGGGGTAGGGGTGGCCGGGCTGGGCAGGCGCTGCCGGGGCGGGGCCGCGAACTTCCTCCCGAGGGGGCAGGGGGAGGGCGACCAGGGCGCCTGGCTCAAGGTGCGGCTCAAAAATAGCCCCTCCTCCATTTTCAGAGCCCAGCGGGCCCGGGTCAACTCCTGGAGGCCCAAGAGGTGGGGACTGTTACTATGGATCCCCGCTTTACTTAGGAGGGAACCAGGGCGCGGACAGGTGAATGACTAGCCCGCGGTCTCCCAGCTCAGTAAGTGGTGGCTCCAAATCTGAGCCCAGGCCTTCGGGGGCGCAGAGCCCAACCTTCGCCCCTCTGTTGGCCTGCTACCCAGCAGAGCTGGCAAATGCTTGTAGAATGGCGAAGTGGGGGCATCGCTTTGGGGCCGATGAATGAATGAATTTAGCACCAAACACGCCGTTAACCTGAAGCAGCAGATGCCTCCTGAGGATGAATTCATTGATTTCTCTACTTGGTTTGGCTCAAATTGTTCCTGTGAACGTTGGATCTTCAAACAAGACACATGTACTTGGCATGTTCTGACCGATTCACAAGGTTGGTTTTGTTTAAAAAAAAAAAAAACACGCAAAACACTATATATGCCTATAATCCCCTGTTCCACCGCAGACAGAAAAAAAGGAGCGAGAATGGAAAACAGGGAAAGTGGCACATTCTCCATTTGTTAGGAGAGCCACAGAATTCGGTTTCCGGGCCTCATCCAGCCTTGCCCTTCCTCACCTCTCTCAAAGATGTCCCCACTTCTGGTAGCCATCAGAGTGAAGTCTGGGGTATTTCCCTGTGGAGTTTAACAAGAAGGTGGGCAACAGCGGCCTTGGAGCCAGGGTTCAAGTCTGGGTTCAAGTCCTCGCTCCATCCCTCCCCAGCTCTGTGGCCCTGGGCCTGTCCTTCTCTCTGACTTCGGCTGCCCTGGGGCTGGAAGGAAGGAAGAAAAGACTGGTTGTCTCTGAAGGCTCTTCCAGCTGAGATGGTCTATGCTTCCGAGACTCCCACAGCTGCTAACTGCCCATGTTCAGCAACGGCCTTTTTGACTCACCTTGTCCCTCTCATTCTTTCCTTAAGGCTGTGCTGGCCCCGCTGGTTTGTGCCTTCCTGGGTAGTGGGCAGTTTCCCCTCTGTATTTCAGTGCAGTCAGGGTGGATCAGAGACCTGCCGAAGCTCACATCTCTCTACCTGAGGAAGATGCCCAGGCTGAGAATTCTGGAGGGGGACATTTTCAAGATGACCCCCAACATGCAGCAGCTGGATTGTCAAGACTCCTCAGCACTTACTTCTGTCCACACACACATCTTCCAAGACACTCCTCGCCTACAGGTCCTTCTATTCCAGAAGTAAGTGTTTCTAGGATGCACGTGAATCACATAACTGATTTCTGCCCATTACACTAAGTTGAACACGTGCAACCATTTTATAGCACTAACCAGACCTTCATTCCTCTCCCTCCGCTCCTTCCCATCCTCGCTGGACTTCTGTTCTTCCTCATCCTTTGGGTGATATCTTGGTCAGGTACCAGGTAGTCCATCGGCCTAATAACCATGCAACTCAGTCTTGTCCAGGGTAATGGTAAAACTCCAAACTCTCATGCATGTAAAGTTTCCTTTAAGCCCAGGCTGAGAAACTTGCAGTGGGAAGAGGGGATGAGGCGTCAGGTTCTTCTCTATTTCTGGATGCACCCACGTCCCCCCCTACCCCAGGGATTTCTGCAGTTCAGCCCTTCCAAGGTTTGAATGGGTCTAGGGAGGAAACGTGAGAGGGTAGAAGGGTACTACTTGCAGTTGGAGCCCAGGGTCAGTCCTTCCAGGCCTGGTCGTCCGAAGTGTCACTGTATTCACCCTCCTCCTCAAGAGCAGCTCCTGTCCTGACTTCCGCAGGAAGGGCACCATCCCTGTGAAGATGACCCCAGGCCACCTCCTTTCCTGGGGGCCCTCATCTGGGGCCCGGGAAGCACCTTTGCCCCATCATCACTTTTAAAGTAGCCACTTCTCTCTTTCCTCTGCTAGCTCCAGCCACAACCAGAGTGTTCACTTTGGGGTTTGTCATGGGAGAAAAGGAAACAGAACACGCAGAGCACTTAGCTCGGCGCCTGGCACATGTGGTGTGCTGTACCGTTCGTGAAGATGATATGGTGGCTGTGAAGAAGGTGACATCGTGTTGGTAATGATGGTGAATTGGTGACAGGGATGGTAATCGTGATGGTGATGGTGATGGTGGTGATGTTACCGAGAGGGATATCCTCTCTGGCTCAGACTCCTCTTCCGAGCTTCAGACTTGTATGTAAGGTAGCAGATGTGGAGTCCCCCTGCCCCCGGCTCAAATCCTGACTCCATCCCGAGTCACACACCCCGTCTCTGCGGAGCCCAGGTTAAGAACGCTTGCGATCCAGTCACCACATTCAGCCAAGAGGTCTGTCTCAATCATAATCTGATTGAGTCTCCTGCCAAATGAAAACCTTGCAGTGCTTCCCGTGGCCTGAAGGAGAAGGTTAAATTCCTTCTGGCTCATCCTAGTTACCCCTTCCCCCCCAACTGTACCACCTGTGTCCCAGCTGGCGGAGGGGGGAAAGGGAACCAGCCACTTGCTTTCTTGGTGCTCTCAAGCGTCTCCATCTGCCCTGCTGGACCCTCTCTCCCCCTTCGCAGCCTGGCCTACCCACAGCTCTCCTCAGCTCACCCACAGCCTCCCCTGGGGGGCCGTGCTAAATCCCGAGTCACGTTTGGCTGCCCTGGCACGGCCAGCACGCTCCAGTGAGGGGATGGCCAACTTCCTTGCTGCTCTGCCAACCAGTGGGCCCAAAAGCCCTCCGCGGCCCCCTCTGACATGCAGGAGGCAGGGGCAGTAGTTCAGCAAAGAAGTGAAAAGAGGGGGCACCCGGGTGGCTCAGTTGGTTAAGCGTCTGCCTTCAGCTCAGGTCATGATCCCAGGGTCCTGGGGTCGGGCTCCCTGCTCGGCGGGGAGCCTGCTTCTTCCTCTCCCTCTGCCTGCCACTCTGTCTACTTGTGCTCTCCCTCTAGCTCTGTCAACTAAATAAATAAAAATCTTCAAAAATAAAAAAGAAGAAGTGAAAAGAGGTTATTTAGGAGAGCAAGTGAACCTTCTTTCACACTAGGGCTCTGTAAGTTCAGATGCAGAGACACGCAGCACACACCAGGATGTGAGCCAGGCCCTCCCGTACGTACCTCCCGTGTAGGTGGTGATTCGACTTGATTTTATCACACGCAAGTTACGTCGGTGACAGAAAGGGCCACCGGATAAAGAAAGGACTCATTTTCCTTATCTGTAAAATGAGCAAAGTATTATTCTGTCACTGAATTGTTATAATGATGTCAGTGAGCTAATGAATGTAAAGCCCTGAGTAACGTTAACTGCTCAAAAAGACGATAATCCTTTTTCCTTCCCCCCCTTCAGGCAAAAAGAAAAATACTTCCTTGGCATGCTGAAGTGCTAAATTCTCCTTCTAAGATTCCTACTCTAGCTCTGTGAAATCTGCTGAAAACAAGCATGCATATATGTATATACTCATATTGTGCATTAAGCTTCCAGATAAATAGCACACATATATATGTGGTGTCCCAGAGGGGACAACTGTCCGGTCCCCACCACCCCAGAGTGTTAGAGCAGGTCTGGGGAGTGGGTCCGTCTTCACCTAGGACATGCGCATCTCCCACAGAGCAGCTGGGAAAGGCGGATGGTTCCCAGGCCGGTGGAGGAAAGCCAGCCTTTGGTCAGAAGAAACCTGAAGGTAAAGTGCAGCAACTGTTGCCCAAGATGAAGTATAACTGAGTATGTGTGAGAAGGCCAGGGGACTCAAGGAGTTGAGAAAGTTGAGGCCAAATGCTCTGTAAGACTCTAGGGAAGAAAGAGCCGAGTATTGGGAAGGGACCTGCCATTGCTGGGTGTGCTAGACCCTTTGCAAAATGGCCCCACGTCATTCCTCCCATCCTTGTAGACACGCCCCTTTGCAATGTGACTTTGCAGCTCCTCCCACCAAGAGTCTATTCTCTAACTCTTGAAGCTGGACTTGGCCTTGGGACATTAGCAAAAGGGACGTAAGTAGAAACTTGAAAGCAGTTGAGGATTGGAGCTTTCCCTTCCTGGCTAGTGGGGAGCCCCCCCCCCCAACTCCACCACCATGTGCACTAGCCTGGGCTAGCCTCCTGAATGATGAGGAGTATATGTAGGGAGGCCCCAGCAAACCTAGCTGAGTCTCCATATATGTGAGGTCATCCTAGATCTTCCAGCCCCAGCTGAGCTGGCCCAGACCACAAGAACCACAGACTCATGAGAAAAAACAAATATTTGTTGTTTTAAGCTACTAAGTTTTGGGGCAATTTCTACCCAGCAAGAGCTTAACTGATATGCTCCAGCGAGGAATCTTCCAAAGGACTGGTGTTGAGTGCCATCAACGACAGTTCAACTGTGATAGTACATACTCAAGAAAGTTCTCATTAATAAAGAGCTTCTGCCATTTCTTGTGACTGGTCTATAATAACAATATCTTACTTTTGTGTAGAGACTTACACTTTTAAACAGTTTAATTATCACAGACTCTTTTTGATATAACAAATGGGCAGGGGAGTACTGTCTCCATTTGATATGTGGGGTGATAGTGACTGAGTTGGGTTGGTATCTCCACTTTACAGATGACCAAAAAAAAAAAAAAAAATGAAGTCTGAAGTCATTAAAGAGTTGTGTCCAAAGTAGTGTCATCTAACCCCTAACAGAATGGTTTTGCAAGTGACACCACCATGGCTCTCTGAGAATAGTTTTGACTTGGTTTTTAAAGCCTGACTTGATTTTTTTGTGTTTCAGCTGCAACTTGAGTTCCTTCCCTCCTTGGAGCCTGCATTCCTCCCAGGTCCTGTCCATCAACCTCTTTGGCAACCCTCTCCTTTGCAGCTGTGAATTGTCCTGGCTCCTCAGGGATGCAAAGAGGACTGTCCTAAGCAGGTAACACATTTACAAAGCCCATGACTAAGAGGTGAGAGGAAATTCTCACAGCTTATGGCTTGCTCTTCTTGGGCAGGTTGGCAGTGTTGGACAGGGTGGCCATCCCCCATGTAGTCACACTCAGGGTCCCCCAGTGATCAAGACTCTTCGTTCCAGCCAGCCAGAGTGACAGGGAGGATGGAGGAACAGACATGCCGATATTAATAGGCCAAGCCAAGAGGTGGGGCTCCTCACTTCCCCTCGCATCTCATTGGCCAAACGTCAGTCGCAGGCCACACCTACTACAAGGGAGGCTGGGAAATGTAGTCTAGTTTTGTGCCCAGTAGGGGGAAAAAAATGGGCTAAGTGAACAGCTAGATTATCTCCACCAAGACAGTCTTACCTTTGTTCCATTTTACGGACAAGTGGGTGGGGGCCCAAAGAGAGGAGGTGCTTGCTTAGGTTCATGCAGCTGTTGGGTGGAGGAGGCAGGATCCATCTTCCTCCAAAATGGTGGAGGTGGCTCTTAAACACTGGGCTCCACTAGTGAGTCCCCAAGATGCAGCCTGGTCCCCTGCATCATTCAGTCCAAGGCCGATTACTTACAGAGCTCTTGTGGGACAGGGGAAAAAGAAGTCCTTCAAAGACTTCCCATTGGCTATTGGCTAGAAGAGCTGTTTTTGCCGTGGGGAGCCATGCCCAGGCTGGCCACCAGGAGAGAATGGGGGCTGGCTGGGGACACCTCTGGTCATGAGTACCCTCAACCCAGCTCCACTAGCCCCTCTAGCTCACTTTAGGAGACACCTCCCCCCATCCTGTGCGATTTTTTTCACGTCCCACCCAAACCCAGCTGTGAAGTGGGAATCAGTCTGCCCCCATCCCCTTCATGTTACCTCCAAAGATAAGGACCCAGGCCCTTTGCAGTGAAGGGTCTTACTACAGTATTAGTGAAGAGGTTGAGAGTGCAGCCTCTTCACACCACTTACTACTTTTGATTTTGGCTGCGTCACTGAACCTCTCTGTGCCTCTACTTCCTCATCTGTAAAATGGGGATAATAGTGGCTACCTCATAAGGTTATACAGATTAAATTAGTTGGTACAGTAAAGTGCTAACAGTAGTCACTAGCATATGGCAAGGACTCAGAAAATGTTAGCTAGTGTGAGTATTATTACTAGTACTCAGCCAGGAAGCAGATAGGTGACAACAAAATGGCAGACTACACTTGGAGAATCGAAACCACCATTCAGAGTGCTTGCCCTGGGTTTAGGTTCCGCCACTTGCTATCTCGGGCAGTTAGTTCCTCTTGCTGAGCTTCTGTTTCTTTTTCTGCCCAATGGGAATGATAAGGGAAGCCTCCTCCATAGGTTGCCCTTGAGGGTCAGGGAAGTGAAGGTCAGAGAGTGTGCAGCAGGTGGTACCTAGCGGACATGTTGACGGGGTTTGATGAGAGGGATTGTCGGCAGCGAGGACTCAAGCACCTTCTAACTGGTTGGCCTCCCCTTTAGGGCAGCGGACACTGTGTGTGTACCAGCTTCAGGGTCCCAAGACACCTTCTCGGCCCCTCTTTCGCTGACGCAGCTGCCCACTGTGTGCCATCTGGACCAAAGCACCACCCTCCTCGATTCCAGCTCGCCCGACTCTGTTCCCTTCGCCCACGCACCGTCTACACAGGGTCTCACCACCCCACCGAGCACAGCCCCCTCCACTCGACCCGTGGAAGCTGGGCAGAACGTCACCAAGCCCCCCTCCCTCCCCGCGGATTCCGCCACGCAAACTGCATGGTCACACAGTGCCATCAAGGTGGGGACCGCCCCCTCCCCGGCCATCTCCACAGCGGATTCTAGCAACTCCGGCGCTCTGCGCAGGGCAGCAAACACAGCGGGGACAGAGCCCCAAGAAGAACACGCTGCCATGCTGGGCCATACGCCTCACGTCTCAGCTGCCTCCACCGCCTCCGCCAGCAAACACCCTGGGCTCTTCCCTACCCCCTGGAGCCCAGTGCGGACGCCCCAGCCCGACTGCACGACACAGGCCACCCCGCAGGCACCCCTCCCGAGTCCTTCCGAGGGCGCGATTCCAATCTTGCTGTTGGACGACTCCAGTGAGGAGGAGGAGGAGGAGGGGCAGAAGGAGGAGGTGGGCGCGCCTCCCCAGGACGTCCCCTGTGATTACCACCCCTGCAAGCACCTCCAGACCCCGTGCGCCGAGCTGCAGAGGCGTTCGCGGTGCCGGTGCCCCGGCCTCAGCGGGGAAGACACCCTCCCGGACCCCCCCAGGCTGCAGGCGGTGACCGAGACCACCGACACGTCGGCCCTGGTCCGCTGGTGCGCCCCCAACTCGGTGGTGCGCGGCTATCAGATGCGCTACTCTCCCGAGGGCCGGCCGAGGAACCAGTCGGTGACGGTGGTGGCGGACATCTACGCCACCGCCCGGCAGCACCCCCTGTACGGGCTCTCGCCAGGCACCACGTACCGCGTGTGCGTCCTGGCCGCCAACCGGGCGGGCCTGAGCCAGCCGCCGGCCTCGGGCTGGACGCGGGCGTGCGCCGCCTTCACCACCAAGCCCAGCTTCGTGCTCATCTTCGCGGGGCTGTGCGCCGCCTGCGGCCTGCTGTTCGTCACCACCCTGCTGCTCGCCGCGTGTCTGTGCAGGCGGGGCCGGCCGCCACGCCCCCAGCGCCACGACACGCACCTGGTGGCCTACAAAAACCCAGCCTTCGACTACCCGCTGAAGCTCCAGACGCTCAGTTAGCTCAATGCCCCCTCCTCCACTCGAACTCGAGCTGAGGAACCGGCCGCCTGTGTGCTGAAAAGAAGATACAGAGGGTCAAAGGTGACCCCGTCAGCTCAGAATGCCTCTAATTTCCTGTGAAGCCAGCACTCCGCCATGCAGTTTCTCAATCCAAGGAACCACTGCCTTCCCCGCCTTCTACTTCTCTGTTCCCAGAAACGTTAGGGTTGACACCAGACCACCCCCGTCGCCGCGCGGCATCCTTGTGTGTTATTTGGGTTTTTCAGCAGTCAATGCGCCTTGGCGTCCAGTCGAATAGATTGGGTGTGAAAGTAGGAAGAGAGAAAACAGTTCACACAGTTCAGTCTCTTTTGCCATATTGGAAGTGACATCCTCAAGTCAGTTCAGGGAAGTTCCCTTGCGCTCAAGCTCTGGCTGAGGCACCTGGTATTCAAGGAAGCAACTCCAGTGGGTTCTTAATCTGAGAACTGTGAGTAGGGGAGAACTACTGGTTATGTTTCCTGAGGCCGTCTGGGTTTCCTGCGTTTATTGGCAAAAAAAAAAAAAAAAAATGTGCTTCAAGCTTTGTAGTTAAAATTGCAATCTTCTGGGAACATCTGTGAAACACAAGGATAAGCTGTCCTTTTTAAAGTCATTATTTACTGCACTTCTCCATAGTCTAAGTGGTCAAAGAAACTATGAACTTTTCTTAAGAAAGCATAATGTCATTTTCAGGACTTGGTCTTTTAAGAGAGAAGAGATGAACAAAAGAGAACCTCAAGGCTCTAGCTAGAGGCCAAAGCATTTTGCTCCCCGTTGCATCAAACAATGCCTTCATGATTTGTATCTGAGTGTGGGCAACACCTTCTGACACCCCTTTTCACTTGTATACCAACTTTAAAAAAATGATTTTATAAAATTATAATGTGGGTCATATTTCTAGATTTTAATTTTCTACATTGGTATTTATTTCACTTTTCTGTGACTACTGTTAACAATTACCACAAACTGGATGGCTTAAAACAACAGAAATTTATTCTTACAGTTCAGGCCAGAAAACCACAACCAAGGTATCAGTGGAGTGGTGTCTTCTGGAGACTCTGAGAATTGTTCCATGCCTGTTCTGGTGGCTGGCAGTCCTGGGTGCTCCTTGGCTTGCAGATAAATCGAATCGATGCCTCCGTTGTCTTATGGCACTCTCTGTGTCCAAATTTCTCTCTTTAAAAAAAAAGTTTCTCCCCCCATCTTTACAGAGATATAATTGACATATAACTTTGTGTAAGTTTACGGTATACAACCTAATGATCTGATACACATATCAGGAAATGAAGGTAGTTACCTTCACCTCACGTGGTGTGTGGTTAAGAACTTCTAAGACCTACTTTCTAAGCAACTTTCAAGTATACATTAACTATAATCATCGTGCTGTCTTCTGGGGATCATTAGATCTCTAGAACTTACTCATAACTGGAGGTTTGTACCCTTTGACCACATTCACCCACTGTCCCGCACCCCTATGAACCACCAATTTACTGGTATTTCTAGGAGTTGGGTGTTTTTTGTTTTTAGATTCTACATATAAGTGGAATCATTCAGAATTTGTCCTTCTCTGCCTTATCTCACTTGGTATAATGCCCTCAAGTTCCATCCATATTGTTGCAAATGGCAGGATTTCCATTTTTATGGTTGAATATTACTGTCTCTATATATTTATACATTTTATCAACTCATCCATTGACACTTGGGTTGTTTCCATGTCTTGGCTATTGTAAATAATGCTGCAGTGAACATAGGGTGCAGATCTCTTCTTCAAGATGATTTCATTTCCTTCTAGTATATACCCAGAAGTCAAACTTCCCTCTTAAGGACACTAGGCATTAGATTAAGGCCCACGTAAATCCAGTAGGACTTCATCCTAATATGATTACATCTGCAACGATCCCATTTCTAAGTAGGTCACATTCACAG